TGATTGAAACACTTTCCATTATTAGTTCATCAACAAGATTTATTTTATTTGAGAAAAAGCAAGTAACTTAAACAAGCAGAAACCGAGCAAAAAAAAGTTAATTTATTAATCTGTTTATATAGAAAAGAAAACGAATTCTTTACGACATATTTAGACGGCGGTGTATAAAGCAATAGCTGCATTAATAATTTTCGTCGTTATATCTTTCGTGCTCTCCACTGTTGTAACATACATAACCGCCTTCCCTGCATACACAGGTGCTCCACCAGCTAGAAAATCATACATTATCTTCGTTAAGGTGAAGTGTACAACTACATTTGTTTACCTTTCCGATATGCGTCACCTGCTAGTTTCAGTGCTGTTGCATTGCTCAACAAGAACTTTTGTTGGTTGAGGTATGGTATTATGTATTGATCTCTTAAACAACGAGCTACAAACAGTACCATGGAAATAGTGTCACTTTTACCAAAAAGTATTCTCTTTTACATTACCATTAAAAGGCTTAGGAAACGGAAACGGGATTGGATTGAATTTATCAAATAAAGTTGTGCGCACCGTAGGGTTGGGTCTAAGCATAACCAGCCGATACGATATATGCTGTAACGAAGGATATATTATTATGTTCTTACCCTTTCGCTGCCAGAACTCTGTATTTCCAGTCATTGGGGTAAGTCGATTCCGGAGTAGATAGAAATCTCGTACCCATCATTGCTCCAGAAGCACCCTAAAATAATAAATGAGCGAAAAGAACGCTGCCGACTTTTGTTGAATTCAAATATACTAGGTATAGTGCTCGAAGTAAACCATTCTCGTCACCCAGACCGCCTGCTGCAATGATAGGAATATCTTTATTTAAATCCTTAAACTTTTGTATCACTTGCACAACTAATGGCCATGTTGAAATGCCAGTGGCACCATGTCCACCAGCTTCTTGACCTTGAGCCACGATGACATCACTGTAATCAGCAGCCACAACAGCAGCTACAATCAGATAAACGGTTTTATTTCGAACAGCAAATGTTATGTACCCACCGTCTACACTTTCTATTTGTGAAATGACTTTGATACCATTTGCATGTGCTCTTGCTGCATACTTAGATGCGTTTCCAAATGAGAAAAACATTGCTACTGGTTTAGCAGCGAGAGCATCATTAAATGAGTTTGGAACCTGATCTAGGTAATAGGTAATAAAGCCGACACCAAACCTTAATTTTTTTCCATCAGGGCCTTTGGCAGCGTTACATGTTTGCAGCTCAGTTTTCACAACAGTCTCATTTACAGCATAACCGTACCCAATTAACCCTGAAATAGAAATTTTCGTATAGAGAAAAACATGTAGAAAGGATAGATCAGCAGTTCCATTTACCGAAGCCACCAGCCTGGCTAACACCTTTTGCCATGGCACAGTAAGCTGTACCACCCATTGGAGCATTCATAAACGGATATTGAACACCCATCATTGTTGAAAACTTGGTTGATAGTACATCTGAAAGGTCGACACTCATCTAATATCATATTTTATGGTTATTAGTTAATGGCAGCCTGACTCCTAAGTCTGACATAATCCAAAGTAAGCATTAGCTGTACTAAGACTTTTGTACAGGGAAATAATTAATTAAACTTACTTGAGGATACCACAAGCATCATTGAACTTAAAAATGACGGCAAAATGAAACTTACAAGTTTGTATACTTTCACTTATCACTTACTAAAACACTATCATATTAGCGACCAGAGTCATGCCAATCGAATGAAATAAATCCACCATCGTGTACAATTAAAATTAGTAAAGCTGAAACTAATTGATAATAAATACGAGACAGTGTGAGCTGCAAC